CCAATGAACTGTAGATCTTAATATATGACTTCTGATTTGTCATTATTGAATGTGGTGGGTATAGGGGGTGAGATGATTTCATAATACTGTATCAGAAAATATTAATAAAGGCACTCATTAACATATTTTTCAGACAGAAAAATTTCCACTTTTAAAGCCTCTTTAACTCAAACATCGAGCAATTTCTTCGTGGCCTTTATTATGCTAGGTGCTGTCTTTTCAAGACTCATTTTTTACGCATCTGTTCAGCAAATATTTATTGTGTGCCTACAGCGTGCTTGGCACTGTGCTATGTTCCCAGGTATATCGTGTATCTCCATCAACATAGACTGAAATCCAACGACTTATTAATATCTTCTGTAAAGAAGAAAAATTACGTTTTTTAAAAGATTTTATTTATTTGAGAGAGAAAGAGAGATTGAGCAGGAGGGCGATGGAAAGAGAATTTGAAGCAGACTCCGCGTTGAGTGCAGAGCCCGACGCGGAGCTTGATCCACAGTTGTGAGATCATGACCTGAACCAAAACCAAGAGTGGGATGCTCAGCTGACTGGGCCATCCAAGCTGCCCCAGAAAAATTACATTTTGTGAGGGTCAGAAAAGGAACATTTTCCATAAGTTATAAGAAGGAGGAGAATTAGCCCCCAAAGATAGATGTGGTCACATACTTCATAGTCTTGGATTTGACTAAGTTTCACATAATCCTTTCAAAATATGACATCCAGATTTTAAGCTAGTTTACTCTCTCTTTCTGGTGCACCTGTTAAGATATGTATTGAACCTTCTAATTCTTTATTTCCTGACCTCTCATGTCTTGTGTCTTTGTCTCTATGCTGCATTCCATGTGAGCACTTCTCCAACTGCACATCTCATTGTAACGCAGGCTCTGATTCAGTGGATGGGGGACAGAGCCAGATTTCTGTATTTCTTTCTTTCTTTCTTCCTTTCTTTCTTTCTTTTTTTTGGAATTGTATTTATTTGAGAGTGAGCACAGGTGGGGAGAAGGGCAGAGAGAGAGGGAGAAGCAGACTCCCTACTGAGCAGGGAGCCCAAAGCCAGGCTCAATCCCAGGACCCTGAGATCATGACCTGAGCTGAAGGCAGATGCTTAACCCACTGAGCCATTCAGGTGCCCCAGAGCTTCTGTATTTCTAACCAACTCCCAGGTGATACTGATGCTGCCAGGCTACAGATCACACTTTGAGAAGTATGGTTCTATGTGATTTCTTCAGATCTAACTGCCGCTTCACTAATTTTCTCTTTGGCTGTGTCTAATATTCTATTTAATGTACCCAGTGAGTTTTAAACTTCAAATTCAATAACAATACTTTTCATTTTTAAAGTTCTGTTTGGTTCCTTTTAAATGTGTGTGGTCCTTTTTCCAGAGTATTCTATTCTTTTATTAGTGTTTCTACTCATTTACCTTGATACTAAATTAAATTATTTTATGGCCCATGTTAGATTGTTCTTTTATCTGCAGATTTTTGTTTTTGTTTTTAAAGATTTTATTTATTTATTTGATAGAGAAATCACAAGTAGGCAGAGAGGCAGGCAGAGAGAGAGGCAGGGAAGCAGGCTCCCTCCTGAGCAGAGAGCCTGATGTGGGGCTTGATCCCAGGACCCTGAGATCATGACCTGAGCCGAAGGCAGAGGCTTAACCCACTGAGCCAACCAGGTGCCCCTTATCTGCAGTTTTTGGAAGGCTCATTTTCCCATTTCTTTTATATGATGATGGTCCTCTGTGTAGTTTGGGTGGTTTCTTTTTCCTTGTTATGTATAGTTCCTGGTTTTTACTTTTTTTGTGTGTGAACTGATTTCTAGTAGGGACTGTGTGTGTGTGTGTTTGTGTGTGTGTGTGCGCACACGTGTGCACGCGTGTGTGTGTCTGTTGCTTTGTCTGTCCTGTGTGTCCTGGATTGTGAAAATGCTTCCACAAGATGTTCTCCTTTTGTGTCTGCCAGGGCCCTAAGGGCTCAGTGATCCTGGGCCAGTATTGATGTTGATTTCTTGTTTTGTAATTCCCACCCTATATAGGATACTATAAATGCAGACATGCTAGCTGGGATTATAGTCTTAATCTCTGGCCTGTTTCTTTCCCCCTAAAGGGTCCTGGCCAAATGTGAGCATCCTTGTCATTTTCTTGTGGTAGAGAGTTTCCAGTTTGCCCATTTCTTTTTGGCTTGAGGCTATGGCTCTTTTCCTGCCCAAATATGGCCCTTATAAGTCCTTTTTTTTTTTTTTTTTTTTTTTTTTTTTTTGGTAAAGATTGATTTATTTCAGAGAGAAAGAGAGAGAGATTGTGAGCAGGGAGACGGGCTAAGGGAGAGACTCTTAAGCAGACTTCTGACTGAGTGTGGAGCCCAATGCCGGGCTCAATCTCATAACCCTGGAATCAGGACCTGAGCCGATTGAATCAGACGCTTAACTGACTGAGCCCCCCAGGTGCTCCCATAAGCCCTTCTTTTCAGACTTTCCTGTTGTACTCAACTGACTACTTGTCTAGAGGTTTACATCCCTGGCTTTTGTTCCATCCTGTGACTATCTCACCTGTTACCAGCTGGTGTATTTCATGTTGATTTCTCCTTCCTTCTATTGAAGATTGTCTGGCTCTTTTTCTAATCTCGACCATATGGGCTAGCTTTCAGCATGATGGAGTTTTCAAGAGAAATCTTATTTTATAGTACAGAATTTCTAAATCATAATTCTTTCACAGAGAGTGGCTCTTACCCCTATATTAATCATACTCCTCACTCAGAAATGGGATTCTATTTTAGTTTTCCAAAGATAAATTAGTATATAGTGGAAAGAGAATTGAACTTCTGCTAGAAAGAAGATGATATGATAAATACAGACATCCACAGGAGTGTGTGCATGCTTTGAGCAGGAAAGAAGAATATTCAACACAGATTGGGCTGTATCTCACTAGTCTTCACTAATTGCAGGATCGGTCAGAAACACAGATCTCATGTGAGGAATAACAGTAATGGGTGATTTTTATACAGTGTTTACTATGTACTAAGGAATATGCTGAGCACTTTGTATAGATTTTTTTTTTTTTTAAACCTCCCAACAGCCCTTTGAGGAAGTTATCTCTATGTTGAAAATGAGGCTCAGAGAGGTTACGTGACTTTCCCGAAGTCACAGAGCTGATGGTAAGTGGTAGAGTTGGGATTTGAACCCACTCAGATTCCAAAGTAATGTGCTGTCAGTCATAATGCTTCCGTATTCGTATCATCTGTGAATTTCCATACATTTTCTCAGTCTTTATCTGAGTTTTTTGAGATGGAAAACTTCTCTTTCTGATTCTTATAAAATATAATTTCTATTAATTTTTTTTTTCTTGAAGGAAGTATTGGGTAATTGAAATCAGATTGGATTTGAAGCTATGTTGATGGAAGTACACATGGGATGTGGGCTGAAGCATTCAGTGTAATTTTTCTTTCCATCAGCTAATTTTTAAAGTATTAAGTAAGTAGATTCTGATCCTACCAGGGAAGATTTAAATTCTCTTGAGAGCTTGGAGGTGTTAAATGAATTTCTGGTAGTGCATTTTACGTTTTCAGTCTCTCACCTCATCTCCGTGTACCTGAAGCTCTGTGAATGCTCCTTTGCACCTCCCAGGAGCAGCCAGACCTCCTCCTTGTGCCTTCCTTCCCCCCTGCTTCCACACCACCCCTTCACTTCTCCATTCACTCCCCAGTGTGGCTGCTTGGATGTGGTTGTCACCAGGGTACCTTGCAAACAGCCAGATTCTTTTGAGTCAGTAAGCAGAGACCGACTGCTGCTCCTATCTGGTGCACAGCTTAGTTCAGAAAACAAAGAGTTAAAAAGGAAGCCTGGACTGTGACCGGCTGCGACAACGGTCCTAGGGGGCGCTGTAGTGAGCTCCGGCAGTGACTCATGCTGCTCTGTCACTTGGCTCAGCAGTGGCCCCTGCCATGCAGGCGGCCAGGTGGGGTTACAGCCAGAACAAGCACCGAGTGGGGAGCATGAAGCCTGCACTGCGGGGGCTGTGATGCCCGGCTTGCCAACTCCACTGGCCGGCTCGCCACAGACGGACGCCTCAGCGTGCAGCCATGGCAACGCTTCTGGCCCGCTACACCCCCCCGGAGCCCACCACAATGGGCAGCTTCCTGGTGACTGATGGCCCAGTGTCCTCCTCCCTGACCGAGAGAGTGTAGTAGGTCTGCAGAAAGTGGAGAAGATGTAAGATGCTCCTAGCCCGGAGTCATGCCTTAACGAGGTAGGACGCAGACGGCCATCGGTGCATTTACACCATCAGTGCACTGGGATGCTGTAAATCATCGGGAAGAACTTTATTTGGCTGGTGTTTCATTATGCTGATTAAACTGCGGTGGATTTGGGCGGCATGATTGAGGTGGGGAGGAGGGATAATGAACTAAAAAAAAAAAAAGTGGTTGGTAAGAGCTCTGAGCACACTCCTCTGGCTATGAATGAGCCAGACTGCAGTGCTATCCTACCATGAGTTACATACCTCCCAGGTCCTCTTTCCTGCTACTTCCTCTCATCCCGGTTAATCCATGAAATGCAGACATGCCATCTTATTTCAGTGACTAACATTAAATATTAATGATCTGGAGCTGTCCAGAGGAGGAAATACATAGGTGTGCGTTGGTTGGCACTCTGGCACCAGCCAGCCTGATGCTCTGTCGAAGTGTTCTGGAAATATCAGGAAGGAGCAGCTGGCTCCCACGAGTTCCCCAAAGTGCTTTCGTTCCATCAAGTGACCTGTTTGAGTTTCTCCTTCAGTTTACCCTAACGGGGAAGGCAGCCTGTCTGCCAGTTGGTGGCCATGTTGGCAGAGAAGGGGTTAATCTCTTGTTGCTGTAAGAGCCGAGGCTGGGTCTGCCTGTGTGAGCTAGATTGAAAGCAGGCGCTGCAGTGCCATCGCTAAGGCTGAAGGAGTAGGACGATTTTCTCCGCAACAGTGTTGAATCCGTCTGAATTTTTCTCTCCCTCTCTTCTTGTTTTTCTCCAACCAGCTCCTCCCCCCTTCGTTCCCACCCTCAAATCTGATGATGACACCTCCAATTTTGATGAACCAGAGAAGAATTCGTGGGTTTCATCCTCTCCGTGCCAGCTGAACCTCTCAGGTTTCTCGGGCGAAGAACTGCCGTTTGTGGGGTTTTCGTATAGCAAGGCACTGGGGATTCTTGGTAGATCTGAGTAAGTGAAGATTTGACTTTCTAAGGACCTGTACTGATGTGAGGCATAGAGAGCCCAAAGGTGGTGGTGGTGGTGGTGGTGGGTTGGTTGGTTGGGGAGGGGGGGAGTGCAGTGAAGGGAAGCTGTTAATCAACCTGCATTTGGGAAGCAATTTACCTGTCTGGGCTTTGGTGGGGTAGATGTTTCATATTCTCATTTTGCTGTGTTTAACGTTCCTCTTCCTGTCCCCAGCATCCTAATCGTCCATTGGGTACTTTGGGTTAGTTTTTCAGTGTTTGGTGTTCTTTCGAGGGGAGGAAAGAGTGGGGGATATCTGGCAGTGCAGATCCTTGATGGAAGGAGAAATGTGCAGGGTTCAAAGGAGCCGTCCGTCTGTTTATCCCTCTGTGTTTCCATCTCGCAGGTGTGTGGGTGGAGGTTGCTGTCTTGGCTGTATTGAACGAGATCTCATAAGCTAAAGGTTTCCTGATGGGCTTTGCTGAGCTGCAAGTGGCTCTGTCAGTGCTCTAACAGATAGATGGTGCTCGGCTCCACTCGAAGTCTGCTGTGAGATCGGGGTTCTGGCAGCTGAGCTGCTCTGAGCTGGCGGAGCGCTGGCGGCCAGAGAGAGCCCCGTTACCGAGAGCCACTGAGAGGGAGTGCGATGTAGCCGAGCCATTGATTCCCAGAAACTGGGCTTCACAGGGAAAACAAACAAACCAACCGGAGCCGAGAAAATGGAAGTAGAAACATCATTGTAAACCTCTCAACATGACAGGTCTTTTCTCCATTCTTGAAAAAGCTCATGAAAAACGCATTCACACTGCACCCGGGACTGGAGGGTCCTGGCTCCCAGCCTCCGGGCATTTCTATAAAATGCAGTAGCTTCTGTGGATATAGGAGCTCCGTGTCTTGCTTCGTTTTGTGATCCCGTGACATTCTGCATTCAGAGGCACGAGTTCCCCGGGAAGGTCTTGGACCAGCTGTGTTATTCCCCCAATGCCCCTGGCTTTCTCACTTGGAGGCTCTGGGGGTAACGTTAGGTAATTAGTTGCTGCCTACTTAGGAGACAAGCAGAATTTGATTTTCTCCTTGGCAGTATCCATTCCCGATTTGTTGTGCCTGTAGTTCAGAGATCGATTTGAAGACATGCGTTGGTTCTTGGATGGTGTCTCCCCATGGGTGCTATTTTGACACCGATGTTCCTCAAAAGATTTCAGACCATCGTCGGGGGACTGGGCACTTGAGATGAAATAGGGTAGTGGGCTGCGACTGAATGGGAGAGAGATTTTTGTATTGAAAGATGCTGAGGTGCTCCTCCTTTCCTTCTCCCCTGGGCTCTGGGTTTAACATCCGGGTTTGGATTTTGGTAGCATTGGCTGTGCCTTTCTGGCTTATTTGCTCTGCAACTCCAAAAACAGTCTGGATCGTAGGAGAGCAGGCAGAGAGCTAACTAGCTGTTGAATGTGCCATCAGATGGATTTGAAATGGCCCAGCAGGGCATTTGAAGAGCAGGGCAGAAGTGGAGGCCCGACGCTAAAGGACGCGTGGTTGGTGGGCAACTTAACGTGGACACGCGCAGCACCCTGAAGGTCACACATTGGACTGGAGGGAGGTGTGTGGGGAGTTCTGGTTCTGGTTAGCAGTGGGCTGGCCGGCTCAGAATGAAAGCTTGCTTGGGGTGCTACTGATCTGAAAAACTAGGGAGGATTTGAGGGAATTTGATTTTCAGGGCAAAGGCGGAATGCTGTGGGGGATCTTAGCCATTGCAATCAATCTGAAGCAGCGTGTGATGAATGGCTTATCACTCGGGAAGCCTGGAACTGCATCTGCCCTTCACAGAAAGCTCAGTTAAGGGAGCTCTCTGACAGGGGGGACATCTCAGTCTTCAGGCCCAGGCTCTCAGTAAATATTTGTTGATTTAATTTGCTCATGATCCTTTCCCCCAGATTGTGTTTATACTGCTCATTGTATTTGAAGATAGGCTGTTTCACCTTTGATAGTTCACAGTACATCTCTAGAGCACAACGCGACCGTCTGCTCGTGCCCCAACAGAATGCTGAATGAGATTCTCATAAAAAAGGGGAAAAAAAAGTCCATGCGAACAAAAGCACGTATTTCTTACCTGGAAGATGGGACTGGAGTATTCCTGCTTTTGGGGGACTTTAATGTCTTTGCCCTGGCAGTTTGGGGTTGGAATCAGAAAGATATTCTTTCGTCCCGTGTCTTTGAATGTGATCTTGCTGTCGGATTTGGCTCTTCAACCATGGGCAGCCCTGCGGGTAAAAGCCTACCGCGTCCTTGTGGAAATCCACTCCACCTGTTGGATGTAGGTGACCCTGGACCAATGGCATTATCATTATTTAGGAATTCAATAAAAGAGGCAGTGGTGAAATTAATCAGAAGCCTCCGCAGTTCTGCGGACATATAGACAAAATTCATTTAGAGGTGGGAGGAGGCATTTTCGGGGGGTGCCACTGGGGACCTGCTGCGTCTTCCCGAACATCTCCTTCTCCCCTCCCCACTCTCAGCATCACAAGTTTTTATTTACACACAGGGATTACCTGTGCCGTTACTCACTCTTCACACCGCCGAGGAGATGGCAGATGCTGGGTGCTGCACTGGGGAAATTGACCCCAGATATGTTACCAGCGAATTGAATGAAATGTTCAGAGGTGGAGCTGAATGAATGGGGAGTTTTCACAGAGGCTCTGGTCGTGAGAATGATTTTAATTGTTTTGATCGTTGGTTGCTTTTTAGGATCCTTTTTTTGGGACCCCAGACAGTTTTTAAGCCCGCCATGGAGCGCATCATTATTTTAAGCTTAGCAAGAATCTTGATCTCAGCATTCTGTGTCTGAAGTATCGTGGGCGTTGCTCGCAGCTTGAGTTGGAGGGAGCAGGAGAGATTCGACAAGACCGGTTTTGGTTGTCTTTGGGGTGGGATTCTGGTGAAGCTGGTGCTGGAGTGAGGGAGTTTCTGTCTCGTGCCTCTTTCTTTTTAACTGCCAATAACCCAGGCCACATCCCCAAGCTCTGGATGCCTGGGTGTTTCTCTGAGCCTCTGTTTGCTTGAATTTTACAATATGTTAAAGGTTTAAAAATAAAATGGATCCCAGCTCCCTTCCCTCCCCTGTCAGCAGGGGTACATTTCTTTAGGTCCCTTCTTCTTCCTAGATTGGAGATATTGTCTCATTTAAGCCCTGGCTGAAACCATGCCTTTTTGCAAACCTTCAGTATAAACTCTAGAAGGGAAAAACCAGTCGGTTTTATATTTTGCGCTAGTTTTACACATGCTGGTTTGATGCTTTTGGAGAACTAGGAAATCCTGGAGGAGCAAAGAGATCTCGATGAGGTTGGAATATGTGGGATGCCAGTGTCTGAATAGGCTGTTTTTAGGAAGGGGGGCTCTCCCTTCCTTTTGGCTCAGGGCTCTTTCCTTTCCTTCTGGGTGATCGGAAGTTTCATTTGGGAGCCAACCATCTAAACACGGTGGAGGAACAAAAAACGACTTCCACCATTGCTTCCCAGATTTTCAGGGAACCAGTTTTTGGTACCTCTTCCTTGCTCTGTCGGCGATCCTTTGCATGCCCATTTCCTCAACTGCAAAGTGAGGGTGGGGGGAATGATCCCTTCCTCTTAGGGCTTTTGGGAGGATTATATGAAACCCATAAAGCACTTGATCTAGTACTTGGGACATGGAAAATTCTCAGTAAATGTTCACTGTCATTATTTTGTTATTGCTAGTTTGCTGGTCTGTATGTGCCTAGTGTCCCTCTGTTTATACTGAGAGGCTATGGAAGGACCTCAGCAGTAATTAAGTAGTCCAGTTGTGCCAGAGCAGAAACCCAACCTCCCAGATCTCAGGAATTTTCTGCTAAAGAAGCTTAAACATCCTGACTGACCACAAGCTCATATGCAGTGGCCAGATAATTGCAGGTAAAAGGCAGTTGTGGGGATGGAGTGGATTGGGGGATAGAATTAGAAGGCCCAGTCCTAGAACGGGTGCCTTTCCATCAAATTGAATAAGTCAAGGCATATATGTGTGAAACAGCCCAGAGGACACAGGGCAAACAACTTTCCTGAAGAACATCATGGTACAAATGGGGTATCCGACTGCTCAAGGAGTCAGGAGAGGAAGGCAGCCTTCCTTGTGGGGTCACTTAATGGGTAATGTTAACTCACAGTTCTTGCCAAGTTACAGTGATGATCTTCACTGGAATGTCTTTCCATTTCCGCAAGTCGGCCGTGATCTCAAGAGCTGGGCTGGGTCTGATTCATCCTGGTTCCCTTGGAGCATAGGACATGGTAGACCATCAGTAAATACCTGTGTTGGAGACTGAGTGTGTTTGCACACTAATTGGAGGTAAAATATTTGGCTTTTTAGAAGACAGTAGATTTGGATGAGGGGAGAGAAACGTAGAGAGCATTTCAGGTAGGTTCAAGTGGTAACAACAGCCCATCCATATAGGGCACCAACCCCGTACTAGGCTCTGGTCTAAGCACTTTGCACTGATGAACTCATTTAAATTGCACAATGACCCACGAAGAAGATAGTGTCATTATTCCCATCTTACATGTAAGGAAACTGAGACATGGAGAGGTTAAGCAACTTCCCCAGGATCACACAGCCCTGACCCTCTCAGCTAGAAGTTGAACCCAGACACTGTGGCAGCTCGAGTCTTTTAGCCACCACTCTATGCTGTCAGGTATCAATGCTGCTGACAGGAAAAATTAGGGAATTTGTGTGGAGTCCCCAGGTTTACATGCTTGTTGGAAGTGGAGGCCCATTGTGGGGAATGATGAGCCGTGGGGTTGGGGCAGGGTGGAATGAGAGCTGAGAGGCAGTCTAATTGCTGAGTTTTGTTTTCAATCTCTGCAAGTTTTTTGAGTAGGTAGATGATGTAGCTCTTGCATTTAAAAAAAAATTTCTGCCTCCTCTCATTTGGAGACTCTTCCCTGGGGTGTATGTGCGCTCACATAAACACATGAGTAGATATTCTCTCCTGGAAATTTCCTTGC